TTGCCCTTAATAAAATGATAATAGAAAACCTGAAAGAAGTCTATAGATAATAAGGAGACCTTGGGCTATTGACAAGGTCGGTATCTTTTAAAGGAAGGAAAAATGCTGCTTGTAAAAATGCTCTGTTGGAAATATACATCTCTTCTTTTCCCAGAAGGATGAAATTCAGTACAAACCTGCACTGTTTGCAGGAGATTCTCGGGGTCTCAGCTGCACATGTGATAGTAGGCTCGAGTTCCAGTTAAGCTCAAGGGAATTGCCAGGCTCTGTTCTGCTATGCTCTGCTTCCTTTCTCTAAATATTGCCTCAATCTTTGAATTACAGGTCAGTTGACTGCTGCCAGACCTCTCTTGTGCTATTTCTGAAAGCTTTTATTTGTAACAAATCACCAGTGAATAGCAAACACTGCCTCCTTTAATATGCCTCATGCATTTCATTCCCGATAAGATAGGATGATTACAACCTTGTGCAACAGTTACTTCAGGACTGAGAACAACCAACCTTTATTTACTTAATAGATCTTGACAATTACTGGTGTAGTTACACTGGAAAACTCATCAGAGGCCTTATTAAGCTTGCTCGCAGCTTTGCATCCTCATCAGTGAGAGTGAAATCTGCCTGCAGCTTTGCCACCCCAGGATCTGTGAACTGATCAGTTTTCATAAGCAAATGGTCTTGAATGAGAAACCTGCAGGTGAGGGTGCTTCGAGGAAAGCAGCACTGGGGACATTTTTCTCCACTGCTGAGCTGAGTCACCTGTCCCAACATGTCAGTGGAGGAGCTGCCTGATGGGAGACTCCCTTTCATCAATGAGATGTACTGATAATTCTTCATCTTCTCAGGGTGTTACGTTTCTTTTTAGCTCTGCAGGCTTCTCTGGATTTCTCAGCCCTCTCAACTGTAGCCCGTAACTTTCCAAAAGTTTCTAGATGTCTCACAAGGAGGTACAGGGAGAAGTGTGCTGTGTTAACCTCATTTTCCCAGCAATTCCAGCTAACTGCGGTGTTTTCATATCCTGTCCTAGGATAAGTTCCTGCTGCTCTTGCCCAGGACAATGATCTGCAGCCATTTCACTGGTGGAAAAACCTCCTTCTGTGCTGTATGCTGTGCTGGAAACTGCTATGAAAACTGACCTAACTCTGCTGTGAGCAATTACAAAAAACACAAGCCAAAACCACAAGTAAAGCAGGCAAGTAATAGAAGAGGGGAAACTGACACAATGAAAGGCAAACTTGAGCAGTTTTCAGGAGAGGTAAAAAGAGGGCAAAATATAAGATTGATAACGGAGACAAAAACCTCCCTTCAGCAGTCTCTGTTGAGGAGCTATCATAGCAGAAGGTCCTACACTAGTTTTCCCAAAGGCCTAATCCTGAAAATGCTGCATTTTAGTTCTCTTTGCACGGGATAAGTAAAGAAGTATGCAGGAAGCATGCTTATATCCAAATGCTTAAGAGCTTCCGAGCTACCCTGAGTCTCTGTAGAATATATGCTTCTTTCCTAGGTGTTACCTCAGGTACTAAGCAAGGATAACTTGCCAGCTGTGCAGTAACTTACAGGTACAGGGTATGCTTCTCTTTATTTTCTTGCTTGATCATTATTTTTTAGAGCCTGTTCTGCACCCCATTGTGCAGCAGCAAACCATTAAGAGATTGGAGCTATCACAGAGAGAGAAAGGTGGAGAATGAAAGCAAGGGCCATTTAATGGGCGCAATAATCATACCAGTTCTGTTTTACACATTCTTTGTGTGGTGATTGTAGACGACGTGCAGATCTCTTGTGAAGCTTAGAAGACGCGTATGAATGGACAGTATTCCACAACCAGTCATGCAACCATATGAAAAATCGTGTCTCCTTCCACTGCTGTTTTATAAATCCCAGAGGCTGTCAGACCGTGGGAAGCACAAGACATTAAACATGTCTTTGATCAGTCACAGGCTGATGAAGCGCAGGGCAGCAAGCCTGACAGCCACCCGTCATTCAGGCTAAATGGAAGAGCAATTAAGTTCCTGTATGCAGGAAGATGGCAGGACACATCATAAATGGACTCACTGCCCAGGTACACCAGGTGGGATAAAGATGTGCAGGGGTAGAAGGAGCCTGGTATGCAACTGGCTGAGCTGTACATAGCTTTGTGAAAATAAATAAATAAAATAAAATAAAATAAAATAAAATAAAATAAAATAAAATAAAATAAAATAAAATAAAATAAAATAAAATAAAATAAAATAAAATAAAATAAAATAATCAGCAGACAGAAAACGAGCAGCTCTAACTGCAGCCAGAAGAGAAGGCAGAACTCAAACATCAGCCCAGCCAGAAATGCAAGGTCAGGCACGGTCACTGAGAAAAGCTCTCATTCTGTGTGTTCTTACAGTGTTCAGAGACACAGAGCTGCTCTAAAGATGTATGAATTTATCTGTGGGTTTATGCTCCTCCCAGGAGAAACCACCCAAGTGTTCAGGCCAGGAGGAAGCGCTGTGAGCACAAGATACATACGCTGAAATGTTGCAAATGCTGGTACAGAAAAGCCATCCTTCCCTTATGTATAATAATACCTCAACATGACAGCACAAACTCTTCTGTGGATAAAAATGGCCCTGTAAAATCAAGACAAGGGATCTTCCTAAAATGCAGACTTCAGTTCAAAGGGAAATCGCTGACTTAATGAAGAAATTACGGGAGGAGATTCCTACAGATTGTATTATTCAGGAAGTGAGAATAAAATCATACTAGCATCTCCTGACCTTAACATTTATGATCAAAGTAGGCATCTTGTCAAAACAGATATTTTGTTTACTCCTTTAGTTTTCCTTAGAGAATGTATGCATAAAAGCTAGTTGATCTACACTGTGCCTACGGGGCTGTTTTGCAAAAGACTTGAATGGGAGGAGATGCATCCTCTATTAAACATGGCAAGGCAGAATAATGCTAATAAACAGAGGAGTTATTTGGCCTGATAGTTATTTGGAGTATGTATCTAATCTGGAATTTCAGTAAATAATGATTAAATTATTAGATAATTATTCATACTTCACACAAATTCATTAACACAGGTTTTATTCTTTTTTCTTTTACCTCCTATCTTGCTTGTATCTGCTCATGGGTAATTTTCTGTTGGGCTAATTGCCACAGAGTGCGATAGTCTCATTACATCACCTATGTTGCATGTCATCATTGATTAGGACGTGTCCTCACAATCCAGATTTAAAACAGAAATGATGCTGAAAGGGGTGCCCACGCCTATTCCATCCAACCTCAGCCAAACGTACTTACTTGCTTCCTCCTGCCTGCACTAGTATTTATATGACTAGTATTTATCTGATCTATTCAGATCTGGCTGAAAAATAATACAACACTGCAAAGAAGAGGTTAGTTTTCAACCAGAACAGAGTGACATCCATCTGAACACCAGTCAGGGCAATGAAGATCATGCATGCCAGTGTGGTGGGGAATTATGGGCAGTAAAGACAATAGATGCTGCACAGATTGTACATATAAAAAGCAATATCCAGGAGAGAAAACAGCACTGAAGAAAACAGTTTTCCAGAAACTGTGTGGAAGCCACACTAACTACAGAGTATACAAAAGACATTCCTTTTCACAGATGGTTTATTTCTGAGACTTCAAATAATCAATCAACATCTTCCGCATGCCCTGCATCAGCCAGCCAAACTCAGTCAGAGATTTTGTTGTTTCATCTTCTGATTTTCCCTTGTCTAGGCATAAGATAATAAATGACCAGTTTGCAGTGTCAAAAGTCAGGTTTCTTTTCATCATTAATGTATGAGATTACTTGTACAGCAAGGTGTGAGACTGCCTTACCCATTAGACCTTTACTCCTAGTTAGTCCAGGACTACTGTATGTCTGTCCCTTGCATATATTGCCTGGTTGAACTCAGGTAGCTTTAATTTATTCATGAATCTTCAGTGAATACAACTGCCTAGGATGCTTTCAGATTACCAGGCCAAATTCTGCCTTGTTTTTGATTTCACTCAAGTGTAAAAAATTCCGGAGTCACCAGAGGGCACCATTATAGATAGTTTTATAAGCACCATTTAAGTGATGCTCTAAGAAAATAGAATTTGGGGAAAATTTATTCTGTGGCAAAGTGATTACATTGGTTGCATTATTTGTTTTCATGCATCGTTTCCTCACACTGTATTGTAATTTTTCATTATACAAAGCATTTTAAAAAGTGCAAAACGAGACACTTGAGCCCAACTTTATTTTTTGTACATTTCTCCTTAGCTACAAGATATTTGATAACATCAACTAACATACACGTGTGCATGTGTACATGAAAGGAGGCAGACTCATTCCTAGACCAGCTATTTGCCAAAAGGAGAGCTGCAAGGATGTGTGAAGCTCCTAAGTATGTTAGCAATGGGCAGAATTTTCTTTCTGTATCAAGGTATTTCTGTTGTGATTATACTAAACTTCAAAACAGAATCAAGATGAAAACTTGACACAATCACTGGAGCTGGACAGGACGTCTGGAGAGCATCTAGTCCAACCTCCCTGCTCAGAGCAGGCTGCTCACAGCTCGGTGTAGTTGGCTTTTAGTACCTCCAAGGACAGAGATCCCACAGCCTCTCTAGGAAATCTGCTCCAATGGCCTCTCGCAGAGGAAAAAGGTTTGCTTAGTTTTGAGCAGACCTTCCCGCGTTTCAGTTTGTGCCCAGTACCCCGTTAACAATCACAGGGAGTGTGGCGTTCATGGAAAATGAGGTGAGCAGTTCCGACTGCCTCTTGCTTAGGCTCAGCACTGTACCACACACACTGCATTGCAGCAAATGCTACAAACTCCGCTGAAAACAGTTTAATTATAAACAGATCCAAATCAGAGAAGTGAGTAATTAAAAATGTGCTTTTTATCTTCAGCATCTCTTCCTTCCTCGATCTCCCAGTTTATGTGGCTTTCACTCTCAGCTGTATTTATCATGATGAACCTAGGAGATTAAGATAAACTACAAGAAATCACAAATGACACCATAATCCATTTGATTTTAAAGAAATTTTATTTCCAGCAAGTGGTTATCTTTTTCTTCTCGAACGCAGCATTGCCTCGCAATGTTTCACTAGCAAAGAAAAACAATTTACCTTCCTTTACGCAAAGGGATTTAAAAAGGAGAAGTCAGGCTCGTGTTGGTAGCAGGCAGCCTCCTAGCGCTCCTTGCCAGCAGGGAGTCGACTCAGCTAATTCCCACACCTCTTCACAAGCTGTTGCTGCCAGACCTGCAGCTATGTTAAGAATAAAGCGGTTCCTTTCCAAACACATGTTTTCAAGGACTTGTGTATTTTTTACAGTATCAGACTTGGCGTTATGACATCCTTTCCACTGATTATTGATAGATTCATTTGAACCCTATTCATGCTTATCTGGAGAGATAATCTTGCACGCAACAGCACAATGTGGCAATAGGCAGAGCTCGGAGTCGGCCCCTAGACGTGTCTAGGGAAGTATTTTATATGGATTTAAACAATACATTTTTTAAAAAGGCAAGAGTTAACCACTGCAATGCAGAGTAAGGACTGATGTACCAGCTAGTTAGCACAAACCAGCAGCTCTGCGGGGAGTATCCATGCACACACTCTTAGCTGTCCCCTTCCTCCTTTCTATAAATGCAAGATATGTTTATTTTTATTATGTCATGCTTACTATTGGGCACCACAGGGAAGAGCCTACACACACACAGGCACAGTAAAACCAGCAATAAATGTAATGCAGTGCATCCACAGAGCTAACAGGCCAACGTTAATATGTGCATTTCTGTGTTTTATCAGAGTATCTGCCAGCCTTCTGGAACTGTCACTGCATTATTCACCGAGCAGTGGTTCAGATGCTTGGTAACTGGAAGCGCTACCACACTTCCAACGTGCTGGATTTGTTTGAGAATTTCTTCCCCTCCTCCAATTTTATTTTCTTTCACCGGACAATTTAGGAATAAATCTGCAAATGATCTTTATCCAGCAGCTGCATCAGACCTGGCACTGTCAGGTTTGCAAACACTGAAGTTAAGCTGTGCAGCCACAAGGAGCCTTTTGTTGATATTTTCAAGTAGGTAGGTTTAATGGAAGAACAACAACGACCACACATTTTGCTCAAACGATTAACGACAACATCCTGTGTTTGGGAAGAGCTGATTTTGCCAAGGAGATTTCTCTCTGAATTCATCCCCATTAGCTACTTCAGCTATGCAAACCACACCAGGAAAGTTGTGCTGCCTTTTGAAGAGCTTCACTCAGGACTTTGCAAGAGGTCTAATTATTCAAAAATGCCATTTCTTCATCTCTGATGATTTCACCTGTAAGCAAGCAGTATGCACGATAACAAAGAATAGAATTATTAAGCAGAAACCTGGGGACACTTTGGAAGCACTTTTCAGGCTTCTTTGAAGGGCTCAGCAGTGCCATGGATGAGGATGGTTGGGTTGGTAAATGTATTTGAGGTTCCAGAAAGCTTTCAATCATGATTCTCAACAAGGCTTTTAAAGAAACCGAGCTACTATAGCTCCAGAGGGAAAGTCCTTGCAGGGGTAAGAGACCAGAAACAGAACACAAGGCTCAGAGTAGACAAAGTTTATCAGTGCAGAACCTCAGAGATTTGTGATGGAGCTCAGTGTACCTGGAAAAGGGGAGGACAAGAACATGTCAGTTTACTGATGATACAAGTTATTCAGGGTGGTGAGAATGACAGGTGATAGACTGAACAAGCGTTAGTTGACAAGAGAATAGCAAATAGGTACAATACAGGTAAGTGTAAAATCATGTACATGCAGAAAAACAACTCTAACTTCACATGTTCATCAAATAAGACAGGACTCTTCAGGCTGAAAAAGAGAAAACTGAAAGGATGTTACAGAGGCCTGTAAAATCCAGAGCATCTTGGATGGCAACTGTTCACTTTCCTTCCAAAATAAGAATGAACTAATGCCCAGTAAGGTAGTATGAGGTTCAACACAAAGGAAAAAAGGTGGCTTTTCACCTTGGAACAGGTGATTTCCTGAACTCTTCACTAAAGGATGCTGTGAACACTGAAGTGGAATATTAGTTCAGCGGAAGACCCGACAATTTGTAAATTAAATCTATTCAAGATTTGCTAAATACACAAAACCTTGAATCAGCGTGGGATGTGAAAACAGTTGGAGGCTAAGAGTAAAGAAGGAAGCTTTTATATTTGACCTGTTCTTAGGCTTTTATCAAGGCACTTACAGTGTCTGCTGGAGACACTGAGGTAGATGGAGCCTGGCCAAGCCTGGCATAGCCACTCTTGCTTTATATTCCTGTTACTGCTGTACGAAACAATTGTAATCCTCAGGAGAGGTACACTGATAGACACTGCTATTTAGCTGGAAATGTCACCACCGAACAGCAGCCAGCCCAGACGAAAACCACGGTGGGTCAATAAACCTGAAATAAGCAACATCTTTAATCCCTGAGGAGCCAGCAACGGGAAGAGCTCACTGCACACGCTGCAGTCAATTGCTTTGGCATCAAAGGTGTCACTAAGTTTGGGACTTTGCATCAGGCCAGGAAAATAATGTATTTGTGTCCTCAGAACAACTTCAAGCTTCTACTGCTAGCAATGGATCCACAGAAAAGACAGTACATGTGCTTTTTTAAGAGAGCATACCAGTAAAGGCCACGTTTTCAGAGGAGTGGTAGCTATTTAGTTAGCTCTGTAAGATAATTACCTCTTTTACTCTGGAATTTGCACCTCACTTGCAGAAATGAAGTCCTTTCAGGCATTTGCAGTGGGCAACTTGAAAAATTATTTTTAAGGGACTAAATCAATCTAATCCTCAAGCGTGACTTCTGGGGAGCAGCAGCACATTCTGTACAGAGCAAAAAGTGAATAATTAAAAACACGTAATCACGTAGTACGGAGTAGGCTGGAAAAAATCTAAACTTGCATCATATTCTTAAGAGCCAGGGAAGTTTGAAACCCCACTTAAAATTACAGTCAGCGGAGGAACTTTATACCTAGCAAATGCTGCTACCTTTAAATGAATGTAGAGAGTTATTTCTGTCTTTGGGAATATATAAAGCAGTTTTGTGGCTGTATTTTGAACATGCACACTGCGTGGTTGGGGTTAACTCTGCAGACTTGTGCCGGGGGGCAGTCCAATCTCCAAGCAAGATGAGGCTGAAGTTCCCTGTCCCTGCGTGTGCCTGGGGCCCTCGGCAGCTCCTGGCATCGCAACACACGAGAAGAAAGAGCACAAGGGGGCGCCGGATACCTCAAATAGCCCGAGTCTTTCCCACACCGTCTCTAGGATGTCGTATTGCAGGGATGGGAGAGCACAAAAAGGCCCCGAGCAACACCTTGGGCTGCAGACGGTCTAGCCTGGGTTTTACTACAGTATCGAGGGCATTTGAGAATATTTTTATGATCTATAGACTTTTTTTTTCCAAAAAAAAAAAAATAAATAAAGCATGTATTTGTTTGTTAAAAAAACACTGGCATAGGTGATATTTTAATGGTAGGAAAGCAGAGAAATCTTTAGAACAAGAGTAAGACAAAAGCCAAAGACTTTAAACATTTGTGTCAACTCGAATCTGGCAGGCACCCAGCCAGACTCTCGCAGCTTGCTGGCTGCTTGTACCAGAAGCCACTTCCTCTGCAGCACCAGGCCTATCAGCACCCTTGGGTGCTGGCTGGGGCCGGGCTGGGGGGCAGCCCAGGCCTCTGGGTGGGAGTTTGAAGCTGCCCAGCGCTGCTGCTGTGGAGCTGAGCCACTGGAAAAACAAAGCCACAACCCCCCCCCGCAGCAGCCCTGCGGGGAGCCCTCCCATGCGTATCTGGTTAGGAAATGAATCAGGGCATTTTTCTCCCTCCCCTGGCCCTGGGCACGGTGACAGCCCCATTCAGCAGAGGGGAGGAAGGCTCTGCCCAGGGTCCTCTCCAGCTGCAGATGACTCATGCCGGAGGAGCCCCTTCCAGACAGCTTCAACAGGATGAAGTCTTCCCGAAGTTTTTTTCCCGAGCTCGTTTTAATACAGATTTCTATCACTCAGAGCTCTCTAATTGCTACTTCCACAGCACAGCCCAGGCTGGGTGGTGTTCTTCGGAGGCAGAAGAGCTGCAGACCCAAGCGGACCCTCCCCAGATGTGCCAGGGCCTGCCCGCTGCCTCCCGGCAGCACGCTCCTCCCTCTCCCACAGCCATCTCCCCACGGAGAAGCCAAACCACTCCTGCGTGTCCCGAGGAGGCAGCGAGGCTGGGAGCAGCTCCCGGAGGAACAAGCCCTGCACACCCGTTTGGGGCCTGGAGCTCTCCCGGTGCTCGGAGGAGTGCGACCTCCGCGGTGCTTCCCTCCTGGGATCGGCGGTGCCCAGCCCGAGGAGCAGGGGCACAGCTCAGGCTCTGCTCCCACTTTGCTTCAGGGGTAAGTGCCCTCTGTCTATTCCTGCCTCTCCCACAGCGCCACAGGCTCCAGGTGCTCACCGACACGAGGTGAAGATGCCCTGAGATCCTCCTGCTGCTGCCTGCTCTGCTCCAAAGGCCGCTCACAAAGAGGGGTCCCTCCCTTTGGATTTCCAACAGGGCAGAACCGAAGCCTTACCGGAGAGCAGTGAAGCCTTCCCAGTGGGTTCAGGAGGAGCACAGAGCCATGCTCCCCACCGGTGCCATCATTATGCTAATGCACAGGGCAGGAAGCGCAACCAAGCGTAAAACCCACCAAAACTGCACGAAGCAGAAACACCGCCAAGGGCGCTAACGACCACGCTACATTGAAAATGAAAAGGGTTTGGTTCATTTAACTTCTTCCAGGTTTAGTAATCTCTGGTGTCACTCCTAACAGTCCCCAGATAGGCGGTGTTCAGGGCCTTTCGACTTCACAAGGAAACTTATTTTTTTTTCCCCAAGACAATGTCTTACCTGCTACAAACTGAGCTCACTGCTTTAACATCAATCTGATGATCTTCATCAGCTGACTGGGATTTGCACACCAAGTTAATCTACTAGTCCACTGCCAATGATGTATTTTACCTATACATGCTTGCATTTGGCTTTTTACTATGCAGATTCCCTTCTCTGTTCTCCAGAAACACACAGTGAGATGTTCAGTCTCCACCAGGATGGCTTGTTTGCCTAAATGCAGCTGCCTAAACCAAGTCTGGACTTCTTCACAGTCACGCAAAAGCCACCTGTGCCACCTCTTATCAGTGTAAACATACAAACAGGGTCATCTGAACCACACTTTATTGGTAAGACTTCTCTTTGTCCTAGAAACGTCTATACAGATCTTTCTATACAGAGCTTAGAGCACAAAGTCACGTCTGTGTCCCCTACCTGCCTTTGGTTCAGGCAGCGAGCCCACCGTACAGCACAATATCAAACATTTCAGCCTTACCAGCACCTCATTCCTCTCCGAAGCATGTTCAGAAGATGCCATTTTCTGCAACATAAGTGACCCCACACAGAAATTGCAAAATGAAATACAAGCAGGTGCTGCTGTTATTCACGAGACATTTTTGGTTCCCCGCTGCTGTATCTATATATTCTACCTAATGTTTGGAAAATACAGCAATCATGTCATTACTTCCCCTCATAATTCAGCAGATCCTATAAACCTGGAGATATTGAATATAATTAATCTCCTTAAACTTTGGAAAATCTGATCTAACGATCCTCTCTATTTTTAACCCTCCTATTTGAAGTAAGATGAATATATGGCTGTTTGATACAGAAAATACAGGCAGAGAGTAATTCTGCTCTCAGCCTCTAAGCAGAGTTCTGTACAAAACACACTCACAAGCCTCAGGCCTTCCAAAAAACTTCCAACCATAAACAGAATTAAAGTCTTAGAACAGCCAGTAGTTATTTGGGACTGCTGAACTAAGGCAGCCTCTCTCGTTTATGCCTCCCTTTATGCCAGGGCTGATAACGGGACCCTCCAGACACAAAAGCTGTGTATATCTGTGACAGTGGCATTACACCTGAGTGCAGTCACTCCTGCCAGCTCTGCAGTCAGCTGGGGAATGAGCTACAGGCCCTAAATTCACCCACCTTGGTTTTGTAAATGTATTTCCCATTGTGTTTTGAAAATAAATTGCATTTCTCTTGCTGGAAGAATGGGGTAGGTACCATTGACTTACAACCCACAGCAAGTAATTCTTCACGTTGATTACTACAGGGTGCAGGCAAGTGAACAACTTCACTGCTGCTGAGTGCTGCAGAAACTGGGTTGGGTTCTCTGCTCCCAGGGCTGTTCTCTCGGCTTCTTTCTAACAGGTGTGGAAACAAGAAAGGAGAGTTTCTGGCCTAGGTTTCTGAAGAAAACTGAAAATCCTCACTGCTGAATTTGTTCAAAGCTTCACACTAAGCCCAACAGCAAGAAGTTAACAGTTTCTCTTTAGAGAAACTGTTAAACTCTAAAGAAAGAATGGAAAAAATGTGTAATGATGCATGCACCTCAGGCATGGGTCTGTGTTGTGCCCGGTGCCGACCCTGCTCTCACACTCCTCCCTCCACTACCAGCAGCAGCACATCAGCAACAGGATGCCGGCCGGTCTGGAACACATACTCATGAACCTATGAACTCCTATTGTTTTAAGGAAAGTATTTAAGATTGTAGCTTCCCCTGGAAAGCCTCCATGCTGGGGGACAAAGTACCTCTAGAAGCTGAGGCAAGGCCGTCAGCTTCTGAAGTCTCACAAGGGCTGTAAGGGGATGGCTACAATCAGAGCCATTACTGTAGTGACCAACATCCACTGGATGGGAAGGGTGAAATGCACCTGAGATCAGTGCTTAAAAAATATGAAGAGATACTGTGCAAGGAGCTGAGCCCGAAGGCTTTGTGCCCTGAGACACCGTACTGTGTAATCCCACTGAGCAGCAACCGCAGGCTGAATTACCAAGGCCAGGACCGGATGCAGACCACGAGGGAGCAGGACAGGAAACTTGTTGCTGAGGCTGATGTAATATTTTGACTCAACGAAGAACCCCAAAGCGTTCAAACTACAGGCTGAACTCATCCAAAGTCGTGTAGTTTCAACAGAACAGGCTGCCCAGGACTGCACAGCCATAGAAACACGTTATTACCAGCCCATATAACGGTGCTCTTTGTAGAAGCACGAAGGTAAGACAACAGTCAAGGTAAAAAGACAGCCACTTCTCCTTGAATTCCCTTCAGGACCACGCCGGGCTACAGAAGCAACGCTGTGCGGTTACTGATGGATGGGGCTCGCTGCGGATTCTTGGCAGCTACACCCGCATCACGGGACCAGTCGTTTATTGCCACGTGCAAGCACTGAAGAGATGCAGAAAGGGTGAGCTCCCCTCTCTTGCAATGGGTGTGCCCTCCCAAAAAAGGGGGCTCCAGTGGTCCAGCCGGCCCAGGAGGAGCCCGTTCCCCAAAACACAGGGATGGGGGCATGCTCTGCACCCTCAGCAAGCACAGTCCCCTCCCCACTGCCCCCAGCTGTGTGGGGTCTTGGGGCTGGGGTCACCCAGAGAAGCTGTCTGTCTGTCCATCCCTCCATCCCCAGCTGGAACACGCAGCAGCTCCACACGAAAAAGCAAATCTCATCCTGAGGGAACTTGTGTTTACTTGAATGCCTTCCCTATAATCCCATTTTATGGGCCACACATTTTGGGAGCGCTGAGCAGTCAGGAGACTGGCAGCAACTGAAGCGAGGCAGCTCCTTTCAGAGGGCTGCTGAAAAGCTCAGCCCAGCCTTGAACACTCTCATGGCAGCCCTGTGCTCAACATCACAGCATTATCTTAGCTAATATTTTGGTCTTAAACGGGTACTGAATTCTACCAAGCTATATAAGAGCTTGTTTGTTTTTTAGAAAAGAGAAAACTAAAATATTTTTAGAGTTCAC